CTTGGAAGAGTGAAGGCTCAGCATAGGAGATGAAGACTATAGATGAGATGGATTAACATAGTGACTGTGGTAAAAAGGCAGGTGTGTCAGAGACAGTGAGATTGGCTCAAGATAGGCTAGGGTTCAGAGCTATTGTTCATATTGTCGCAATGAGTCATAGTTGCCTTGATGGCACATAACAACAACAACATAATATGAGAAGTGCAAATCAAAGGTAAGCTATAACTGGTAAAGCAGCTACAGTCATTCTTAATCAATTAGAGACTATTTGATAGTTTTGTGTTTGTACAAGTTTTATGCTCTCGTCATGTATTCAGTCATGATTATGGTGTGGTCTTCTTTTTTCTTGTTCCATCACAAAGATCATCCTGGTTTATTGCTAATCCTCATTGAAATTGTTTATGATCAAATAGGAGAAGACCAAGTCATCTCCTAGCACCAGCAAAGCTATTACCAAGTCAGGTTCTAGTTTTTATGAAACCAATAAACATATTTTACCCTAGTCTCCTGAGGAACTAATAGCTAAACTAAGGGTTCAAGAGTTAATGAATTTGTATTACTACCATTCCAGTGACAGATTTAGCCTTTTCCTGAAAATATTTTTACTTAATAACATTTTTTTTTACTAGACAAGTATGCCTGGAAGATATGAGTAAGAACAATTTTTCACTCTAAGTGGAGGGGTCAGGACATGTAAGGATAAAACCACATGGTTGCACAGTTTGGTGGGTGGATGGAGAGGCGCAAGGAAAGGGGAAGAACCTGGGCAAAATACAGGTAATAAAGGGGAAGGCCCAATGGTGATTGATTTTATGAAATACGATGCATGAGAATGATTGTATGAAACACAGTGTGAATTAAGAATAGTGTGAAATGCAAAGTATACATAACTTCGTAGGCAAACCAATAAAAAAATAAACAAAAAACCAACAACACTTCTCATTCTGTTTTCAAAATCCTTAAAACAAGAGCATCTGGTTATGAAGTGTCTGTGTAGGTTGTTGTTGTTAGGTGTTATTGCGTTGACTACAAGTCATGACAACCCTATGAACAACAGATCCGAACCTTGTCCTATTCTGTGCCATTCTAATTTCTTTTGACATACTTGAGCCCATAACTGCTCTCACGGTGTCAATCCATCTAGTTGACGATCACCTCTTTTTCACAGACCCTCCATCTTTCCCAGTATGATGGCCCTTTCTAAGAATAGCCTTTCCTAGCAGCATACCTAAAGTATGTGAGACAAAGCTTCACGATATTTGCCTCCCAAGAGTGCTCTTGCTTCAGTTTTTCTAAGATATACCTGTTCATTCTTTTGGCAATCTTTGGGATGTTTATTTCTCTTCTCCAATGCCACAGCTCAAAAACATCAATTCTTCTTATATTATCCTTATTCATTGTCCAGCTCTCAGATACATAGCAAGTGATTAAAAGGATCAGGGTCTGAAACAGGTACAGGTACACCTTAGTAGTCAAACTGATACTGTTGCTCCTCAATAATTTGGGGAGGTCCCCATCAGTAGACTTGCCCAATACAATACACTTCCTGTTCTCCTAATTGTTGGTAACAAATGGATCCAAGTAAGAGTGACATTTTCAATTTTTCTCTATCATGATGTTGCTTATGCCAGGATTTTTGTCATCTTGATGTTGAAATGCAGTCCAAATTGAAGGCTGTAGTCCCTGATCTTCTGTAGCAAGTGTTTAAAGTCCTCTTCATTTTCAGCAAGCAAGGTTGTATCATCTGTATACCATAGTTTGTTGATGAGTCTTCTTCCAATTCTGATCCACGACATTCTTTTTCCTCAAGTTCAGCTTCTTGAACAATTTGTTCAGATACAAATCGAATGGGTATGGACAAGAATACAACCCTGATGAATACATTTTAAACAATGCAGTGTTCCTTTGCTTATTTTGGATAATGGCTTCCTGATCTTGGTAATGTTTCTTGTGAACATGATTAAGTGTTCTAGAATTCCTAGTTTTCTCAATGTTAATCAAAGTTTTATATCATCCATACAATTAAATGCCTCTGCACAGTCAATAAAACACAAATAGACATTTTTTTTTTTATTCTTTGCTTTCTGTCAGGATCCATCTGAATCCCCAATAATATCTCTGGTTCTCTGGGCTCTTCTGAACCCAGTTTGATTTTCTGGAAGTCCTCTGTCAATGACTGTTAAGACTTTTTTGGATAATCTTCAGGAATAATTTAGTTGAATGTGAACTAACGATACTGTTTTGACATTTCCACATTCTGCTGGATCACCATTCTTGAAAATGGTTACAAATATAGATCTCTTCCAGCCAGTCAGCTGTACAGCTGCCCTCCAAATTTCCTGCTACAGACTAGTAAGCATATCAAGGGCTGCATCTGTTATTTGAAATATGTCAGTTGGTATTCCATTAATTCCTGGGGCCTTAATTTTTTTGCCAATGTCCTCAGTGGAGCTTGGACTTCTTCCTTAATTATGGTTGGCTCTTGTTCATATACTTTCTGAAATTTTTCAGTGTTCACCAATTTTTTTTGGTAGAATGATTCTAAGTATTCCTTTCATCTTCTTTTGATGCTTAATGGATCATTTAAGATTTGACCCATAGCTTCTCTTTGTATTACAACTCAGTACTTGAATTTGGTTTTTGATTCTTTCAGTTTGACATATGCTGAGCGAATTCTTCCATTTTTATTTTCTAGCTCCAATTCTTGGCACATTCCATTGTAATACTTTGTCTTTTCAAGTTGTCCTTTACAATGTTTTTGCAACTCATTTACTTCAGGCTTTCAACCCATTGTTTTGATTTCTGGTTGCTCTAGTGCCATTCTCAGAGGCTTTTCTGACATCCATTGGTCAATTTTTCCATTCTTGTATTTGTAGCAACCTTTTGCTTTCTTGATGGATGACATCTTTTATTTCTTCTCATAATTCATTTGGTCTCCATCATTAGTGTTCAATGTCTCAAACCTATTTTGCAGTTGATATTTAAATTCAGTTGAAGAGAGTCAAGATTGTATTTTGGTTCTTGGGAATATAATTTTCTTCAATTTCCATTTGAACCTGCACATAAATATTTGATCACTTGTTCCACAGTCCATACTGACAAGGTTTGACTGCTAATATGGAGATTCTGCAACAATTCTTTCCACATACGTAGTCAACCTGATTCCTGCATAGTCCAGTAGGTGAAGTCCATGTGTAAAGACATCCAGGATCTGCTAAAGAATTCTTATGAAACAAAAATAATTATGCTAGTTCAATTAAAAGGGAGAAATAAGTAATATATAATGGTCGTACAAATACAAAATTGAACTTGTTTAATAGTACCACAAGATTGTTTTGATAGGAAATAAATAGTGTTTCTCTTCAAATTGAGTTCCTCATGTTAATCCTCTTCCGTTGAATGGAGTTCACCTTCTATGGAGTGTCTTATGACATTCTATGAAGTTTCTTTTTAGGGAAAGACTGTCATTCTTTCTCCTGTGGAATAGCTACAGGGTTCAACAAACTTTGATTTAGCAACCCAACTATACATTTTCTTCCCTCTTCCTTATTTCAAAGTTTGATAATATAAATAACAAAATGACATTTCTTCCATTGCAAAATCAATGAACTCTCATGAAAATCCAGCTTACAAAACTTCCAAATCCCCTAAATCTCAATTCCCATAGCAGATTCAGGAGGTTAGAGAAGGTCAAAGTATTGGATTATGGGTTGACATCCATCTGCTATTGGGCTGAACAATGGAAAATTTAAATAAGATGCACACATTATTTGACAAAATTGAAGCATACTTCTAAAAAAATTGGTGTTAATACTTACTGGGGGGGGGAAAGTACCTCAATTAATCTTTATATTTGTGAGGAATGATGTCCAATGGATAGCCTAGGACATTCCTATCTACATAGGACTTGAGAATTTGAATACTCAGTAGCATTCTTATTTTAAATATTTGGTAATGGTTATAGAATATGGTGATAGTAGAATATTTAATACAAGTCATTTCTTATTGTCTATCAAATGCCTTATAATACATCTCCAACAATGACTTTTTTTTCTAATTATAAATTCCGTTTCCATTTCATCAATATGTGTTGTGAGCCCCTTGCTTTGTGAAACCAAGCACTGGGTGCTTTCAGTTCACTGCTATACAACAATGTGATGGGGCAAATATTAACATCCTAGTTGGGAAAGAATAAGGATCTATATTCTCCTACATGTGGCCTTTAGGAAAGCACAGCCTTGCTGATGGTGAGAAGCCCAGGACACAAAATGACACAACAATTTCATATCTGAACAAGAGAAAATCTCAAAAGTGCATAGTTTACTAGAGGTTCAAATTATTGCAAATTGTTCATTTAGAGCTGTAAGTATGGAAATCCATATTGCAGAGCTCTTTCATGAATATGGTGTCTCAATACAGTACTCATACAAATCAATTTCACTGGTGCTCATAAAAATGTCTGTATAATTAGAGAGTACCAAATGCAGTGCACAGCATCTAGGAACCAGCCTAAGAATGCAGGGGCTAATTACCATTGAGGATATAAAAGGGCACAAAGCATTCCTTCCCCTAAAATATGCAGGAGTGGGCGTCTAAAAGTTAAAACACTCTTAGATTTCACATTTCATTTATATGGCTAAATATTTGCAGATATTTTACACAATTAGACAAATTTAAAAGCTCATAAATTCTACTAATTAAAAGTGACAGAAGTAAGTTGAAAAAGCAGCCTCGGTAGCTAAAATTTCAAGAGAAATTGGCCAACAAACAATGCTTCACTGGTCAGGACAGTCCAAAGTTTCTTTTTTCACTCTTCACTCTGGTATATCTAAGAATGAATTCACCCAATGTTTCTGTTCTTGTAAATAATGATTTTGTTTATGTTGTCTTTATTTTTAATAAAACTAACGAAGAAATGGAAAGAAAAAATCTGAGACATTTGTTTTGGCTGTTTTATTGCAGTGTACCCTTAGTAATATGTAAGAAGAAACTGCTCCTTGCTATGTGACATACCAAATATAAACAAACAGTGAGGCAGGCTCAAGATTCTCACCCAATTTGGAAAACAGAGGAACACGACGGTAACCTGCAAAGAGAATTGTATGTAGTTAGAACTAAATTAATTAATGAGGATCCCAATAGTGCTATCAATAGTAATATAATAATAGATAATATTCTGTAAACCATGGCTAGGTGATTTATCATATTTTATGTTCATTTTTCTACAAAAATTAAAACATTTTTCATTTCTAGCTTGACTTTCTACTGTCTAATATTTGTAAATATTGCAGTCTCTTTTATTGTCCTCAAGTCAGAACAAATCATAGTTTATCCTCCAGAGGGTTTTCAGAAGCTGTAAAAGCTTACAGGAAGAGTTTCCCATTTTTCTTTCAAGAAGTCACTGGTAAATGAACTACTTGAGAGGTGTGGTCTTTGGGTTATCAGTAAAACTCCCTGTGGACCAGGCCACCAGGGCTCCCTTCTTAAAGATTTTTCCAAACTAACTACCATTCATTAACTACCTTCCTCCTTCAGGAAAATCATGTTTCCTAGAAGCATCTCCACTGGTATTAGATAAGTCGAGATATTGTTGTTGATGTAATTTTAGGTATTAGAGAGTCACGTACAACTCACAGTGACCCTATGAACAACAGATTTGAACCTTGTCCTATTGGAGTACAGAATAAATCAACCAGACAAGGAGACACTGCAGTATAAAGTCAACCCTGCAACAGGACAGGAAAGGACAGTCTGGGGCTTCTTGGCTCTTTTCTGTTAAGAAAAGCTCATTGCTTTCTTCTGGGACCCCCACTCATCTCCTTTTATTTATGTGATGACTATCCTTCACTCAAAATATAAAGAAATGACTAAACCTACAGAATTTGCCTAATTAATCTTCTCAGTAATTTTCCATGCACAACCACCATTTCTGTAATTCCATTGAAATAAAATATGTACATATGTTATCTTCACATCCACCTTTCATAGATATTAGGTATACCAAAGTATGTCTATTATGGAGGCCTGTTGTATTAACTGTTAACATAATTACCCTGCATAAAAGATGATTACCTCTGTTCAAGCATAAAACTGGCAAAGTATATTGCCCAAGAACGTCATTTCCCATGAATGACACTTGATTTACAACAAAACGTATCAATGCTAGTTCTGGTACTTTAATAACAAATGTGAAGGTTTCATTCCATTTGGGACTGAAAGCTGAAATATAAAAGAACATATATAAAGAAATCATAGATACCACCTGTAGTTAATTGTGTCTTTAAGGGTTTTTTCAATACTTCATTAACAGTAATACTAGTTTGTATTTTATTACTATGTGTTGCTGTGTTGCAACCAACTCACAGCTGACCTTCTAGCAGGTTTTCAGAGGCTATTAATTGCATGAAAGGAAATTTTTCATCTTTCTCTTTTGAAACATCTAGTTGATTAAAACCGCCTTCCTTTAGGTTGGCAGCACAACTCCATTCCACTGGAAAACTACAACTTCCTCAGTTTGGGTTATAGAATTATTAAATTTTTAATTCACTAAATACAGGAGTTGAGTTGTGGTGCTAGAGAAGAGTACTGACTATTCTATGGGCTACCAAAAGGACAAATATGTGTTGGAGAAAATGCAACCAGTGTGCTCCTTGGAGGCAAGGATGGTAAACTTCATTTCATATTATTTGGGGACTGTTGTTAGGAAGGACCAGTCCTTGGAAAAAGACGTCATGTTTAGAAAGGTGGAGGGTGAGAGAAAAAGACTCAACAAGAAGGAATGACACAGGGATTGTAACAGTGAGCTCAAGTATATTCGAAGCAATGAGAATGGCACAAGATACGACAAAATTCAGATCCGTCATTCTCAGGATGACTTTGAGTAAAAGTCCACTCAATGGTACCTAACAATAATTAAAAGAGGAATGATAACAAAGACACTAATTGTATGTATTAAGTGTTTTCTATTGCTATGCATAAAGAAAGAGCTCTGGTGGCACAGTGCATTATGTGATGCACCACTAATAGCAAGGACAGAAGTTCAAATTCACCAGCTATTCCTCAGAAGAAAAATAGACAGTCTCCTCCCACAAGGAAAGTCAACATAATCTATAAATTAGAATCAGTTCCATGGCAGTTGGTTAGTGCTGGAGTTTTATCATTAGTGTTTTAAGCACTGTATATAAATGGCATAATTTAATCATACAATAAAACTACCACTGTTGTTACTATCCCCATACTAAATGAAGAAATTGAGTCTTAAAGATGTTAGATTTTTTTTTCTAAGTGTTTCAGGCACACATTTAATAAGTGTAGAGAATATTTATAAATCAATTTTTTATCAGCAACAAAATATCTGCAGAAAATTCTTAAACCGGTTCTTCTCTCCGTAACTCTTTTCTCTCCTTGTATCTCTCACATACATACACTCAGATTCACGAACACACACACAAAGATAGGGAGAAATTCTTTTAGTTATCAACATAAATAACATGAAGAAGTTATACAATAAAAACTATAGGGCTGCCACAAGAAAAAGACTGAAAACCCAATTACAAAATGGGCAAAATAATTTTCACAGAGGAAGATCTTCGAATGTCTATTAGACACATGAAGAAATGCTCAAAATCACTGGCAATAAGAAATGCAAATCAAATTTATAAAAAGATATCATCTCACTGCAGTAGAAGGGTCTAAGGTTAACAGGACAGCACGAAATAAATGTTGGAGAGGATATGGCAAGATAGGAAATGTTATACACTTTTTAAATGGGATTGTAAGATTATAACCACTCTGGAAGGCAGTTTGGTGTTTCCTCAAAAAGATGAAGATAGAAATGCTATATAACTTAGCTATTCCACTGTTTGGGATATATCCCAAGAAAATTAGAACTGAGGCACAAATGGAGATTTGTGCACTAATGGTTATAGCAGCGTTGTTCACCATTGCAAGAACATGGAAACAGCCCAATTGTTCAACCACAATAAAATAGATTGAGAAATTATGGTACATTTACACTGCATGCAGGAGCAATGGTTTTGAAAATCACTACCTAACCTGGGGGGGACTAGCAAGCATTGTGCTTAGTGAACTAACTCAGTCCCATAAGGACAAATACTATACAAGGCCGTTATTGTTGAAATAGATAACTAGTAAAACCTGTGTGAAGATCCAAGGAGAGGGAGGGTAGGAGCTGAGGGGTGAGGATGGGTGGGGAGTAGTTATAAGATCACACAATTTAATGGGAGGAGAGAAGGGTAGGTAAAGAAATGGGTTAAAGGGAGACGTATATGGAAGATGTTCCATCTTGCTGGACTAGAAAAAGCAATATTGTTAAAATAGCAATACTACCAAAATGACCTAACAATTCAAAAAAATTCCAACAGGTTGTACAGATATAGAAACACTAACCCTTAACTTTCTATGGAATGACAAAAAAAAAAACCCAAATAACTAAAGCAATGTTGAAAGACAATAAGAAGATAGAAGGAATCACATTTTCCAACACTGAAATATACTATACACTACAAGGAAGATCTGATGGTCTACTGGTGAGTAGCTATGCCGACAAGCCAAAAGGTATGTGGTTTAAATATACCAGCTTCTCTGTGGCAGAAAGATGGGCAATCAACTCCTGTGTGATTTACCCGCTGGAGTGTCAGCTATGAGTCTGTTCTGACTTGACGGTACATAACAACAACAATATTACTACCACAATGGATCTCTGGTGGTGCACTGGGTGAGGAATTGTGCTGCCAATGCAAGGACAGGTAGTTCAAATTCACCAGCTGCTCGGTGGAAGAAAGATGAGCTGTCTCCGCCCACACAATCCACAGCCTCTGAAAACACACTAGAGAGTCAGCTGAGTCAGTTTCAAATCAATGACAAAAACCCCAGGAACAAACAAATCACAAAAAAGCCAAATAGCCCAACAACTACAATACTAAAATATTCCATGCCACCTGGTACTGTATAGCAACTGACACATGAACCAATGTAACACAGTAGAGCCCAAAAATAAACCTACACATCTATGGTACACTGAATTTTGACAAGGATACTAAGTCTGATGGGGAAAGAATAATAACTTTAAAAACTAGTGACTGGAAAATTGGATTTTCACATGCAAAATAATACAACAGGATCTATGCCTCATACTAGACGTAAAAACAATTTTAAGATGAATTAATGATCTGTATGTGCAAACTAAAATCGCTAACTTTTTAGAAGAATGAGCAGGGGCAGTATCATCAGGCCTAGTGTTTTGTTGTGGTGTTTTCCATCCTCCATGGGTAATCTAAAACAGTAACAAAAGCTCAAACGGTAAGAGATAAATAAATGAGATCTCATAAAAAATAATAACTTGTTCATCAAAATTTCACCACCAAAAAAGGGAAAAGACAAGTTATCCACAATAAGATAATATCTTTGGAAACTATATTCTTCGTACGAATAGAATCTCTCTCATTTCCGTCTTCTTCTTGCTGTAATATGCTGTTGAATTGGATGTGACACATAGCTGAGCCTCCAACAGGTTTTCAGAGCCAGTAAATCACATTGGAGGAGATGACTCATTTTTCTTCAGTGGAGCACCTGGTGGATTTAAACCTTGTACTTCTCACATGGATTCCTTACCACTAATCCATTAAATGTTCATCTACTCGGAACCTAACTCAGGGTTGACCCTCTATTTGGTTTCTGAGACTATAAATTACATAGGAGGAGGGTTCCCATCTTACTCTTTGTGAGCCCCTAGTCATTCAGACGTCCAAAGAGGTACGGTCATACCTACCAGAGTCCTCTAAGAATAGATTCTTTAAAACATTAGCAGCTTAACAACAAAAGGACAAAGAACCAAGTCATATAAGAGCAAAGACCTCAAATAGACATTTCAACAAAGAAGACATTCAAATGGTCACTAAATACCTGAAAAGATGCTCAACATCATTAGCCATCAGATAGCTGCAAATAAAAACCATGATGAGATATAATTTCACTAACTCTAAGGTGGCTAAGATTAGAGTGGCAAAAACCCCACCACCACAACCACCACCACCACCACCAACAACAACAACAAAACAAACCAAAAAAAAACCCACCACAAAACAAACAAACCACAGACAATAATAAATGTTGCCTGGGATGTAGGGAAATTGGAATCTGTATTCATTTCTAGTGGGAATAAAAATGGTACAACCATTGTGGAAAACAATGAAGCATTTTTTTTTAAAAAAAGAAAGATTAAAAATAAAGCAATTGATAAGTTGGAATCAGTGAAATTGGCTCAGGACAGGACAGGCTTAGGTACTGCTGTACGTAATAAGGTTGCTATGAGTCACAGGCAACTCGACAGCATATAACAACAACAAGAGTAATTTTATTTTTAGATATGTTCTTGTTGTAGTTGTTGTGTACCATGGAGTAGAAACCAACCCCTAGCTTACCATCCATTGGGTGTTCAGAGGTAGAAAATCATGTGGGAAGAAGTTGTTTATCCTTCTCCCATAGAGCAGCTGGTGAATTTGAACCATATATTTTTGAGATTGCAGTGCAGCTTCTTAACACTAGGCCAACAGAGATATAGACCCATAGAATTTCATTCTAGAGTCTCAAAAATGGACTGGTAAACCATTCTTTATTGTAGCACTGTTCCCAATTTTCAAAAGGTAGAAAGATTTTAAATGTTCATCGATAAAAGCATGGATAAACAAGATATTCATACAGTGGAATACTATTGAGCTAATAAGAGCAATGAAGCCTTTATGCATTGTGATCCATGCTGTAGTATAGACGGAGTTTAAAGACATTAGCTGAGTGAAGTAAGTAGCTATCAAATGAATATGACCTCAATTATGTAACAACACAAGAAAAAGCAATTCTGCAGGAGCTGAAATTTATTAGTGGTAAAGAAGGAGGACAGGACGGTTAATGACAGGTTAATGATAGATAGGGACAGAAATTTTAATTGATCAATGATAAGATTGAAAACTAGTTATTGTAATTGCCCTTAATAGGTTGTATATGTATAGAAAATTGTTGTTGTTGTTATGTGCTGTCAAGTCGCCTCATAGCGACTCTATATACAACAGCCCTAAACCCTACTCTATCCTGTGCCTTAGAAAGTAGAATTGGTAAAACTTGTTTGGTACAAATAATTGCAACAATGGTTTAAAAAAAGAATAGCTGCTGAGGCTGCTTTCATACAAGCAAATACCTCAAGG